CGTTTATTTCAAAGGGATGAAGTCCCTGAATCACTTCCTCTCAGGGAAGATGAGGAGGGGATCCTTCATCCCTCTGCAAGGCATAGGAAGAGATTCTCTTCTATGGACCGCAATTTTGTTCAGAATTTCGTACAAGATGTTTTTAAAAATGATTTTTGTTTTGTTTGTGATAGACGACTTATATGCAATAAACAAAGAGTAAAATAAGGTAGAGATTTACCTGTAAAAAGGCGACCGGTAAATTTTTACATTTCCTCTTGGACACAGATGCAATGCTTTTGGGGGTGAAGTGGCTGTTTTTGTCGCAAATCATACAATTGACCATCAGAACTGTCGCAAATCATACAATTGACCATCAGAACTGTCGCAAATCATACAATTGACCATCAGAACTGTCGCAAATCATACAACTGACCATCAGAACTGTCGCAAATCATACAATTGACCATCAGAACTGTCGCAAATCAATTATTCATCAGACCCCCCCCCCCCCCCCCCCCCATACCGTTGGCAAGCTTTTGAAACGTAGAACTAAGCCCAGAAACCGAAATGTTACAGAAGAGAAAACAAAATTTCATTTGTGTATTAACAATATGACATGTTCCTTTATTATGTTTTTTTTTATTGGTTTCTTTTTTTCGAAATCTAAAATTTGGATTTCGACAAAATAATATTTCTTGAGCGCATGAAACCGATACCAAATATAAAGAAACAGCAATTTTAGAAGAATTCAAAATTTTTTGTTCGGTACATTTTCACAGCTGGCCAACAATGTTAACCTTATTGCCATGTCATTCTGCTATTATGTCACCATGAGCTGCCTCTGCATTAGGTCATCCAACGAGTCTTCTTAATTTGTATATATATTTATACTATATGATATACCACTGACTGTACAATATATCAGCCAGTTTGTATGTTTTACTGTGTAAAATATTAATATTCACCGAAGCCCAAGTGCAATGTATTAAAGCAATAAATGACAAGACTTTTCCCCCACAAAAACTGTTTTGTACTTTTTAATTTTTGTTTAAGATTTTCTTCCCTACTTCTTTTAATTCCAGTGCAACCATTTTCGACACCTTAACGTCTCGATATCAGCTCTTGACCCCGGTGAACTTGCCATAGGACAACCGGTGACGCGGGAATAGATGTACCTCTTTCTCTCAATATTGCCAGCACAGTGCATCCGCCTCACTAACATTGTCGTCTCGATAACCCACCGATACATGTTTTGTATCGAGAGCATTTTAGGACAGCACTAAATTTATCTCTGCTGATTGTCTCGCAGCTTGTAGTGTGGTGTGTCATTACACAGACGATAAAGTGGGTGGTTGGCGGGTGCTCTGGTGTGGTTTGCTTCTTCTTTCCTATCGAAGTGTCTTTAGGCCATTCCCAAAGGGGGACATTTCTCGTTCATGCACAGCAGAATTGTAAATAGGCTGATTCATCAATGTAACGCTCATAACTGTGCTTGATCTACAACAAGAAACTGCTGCTTTTTCTTTCCTAATCCTTACTATTGTCATTTTTCCTCTACTTCTTTTGCATGTTTGTCACACTCTTGTGACCCACTATTTCCGGGGTGCCTTTATAGTCGAAGCAGACGTTGTGCTGTTGAAGCTAGGGAGGAGAGCAGAGTAAGTCTGATTCCCTGTAAGGACTTCTCTGTTAACGTCCACCCCTTGGCACTCATAGGACCTTATGTAATTGCGAGCGCCGTAAAACCTTTACTCAAACTAAACTTTCCTATCTAACATCTATCTAACATCTATTGCCCTTATCTCTCCTCCTTCATTTTTGTCTTTGTTACTCTCTTGTAACACCTCTTATCTTCGGCACTTATATGACCTTATTGTGTTGCGTGCCTTAAAACTCTTACTAAAACTAAAACCGAAAGAGACGATAAACACACAAAGCATACATCGAATCAAGTACACGATGGAGTCATCAAAATTAAATGTGACTGGGCAGAAAAGGCACGATTTGTACGATAAAACTGAGGGCAACTTTTCCAACAAGTGTTGTGTGGCGTCGGTAGTGTAGTGGTTAGGCTACGGGACTTAATCGTGAGATTGCAGTTTCAGAGGTTCGAGCCCCAGGCCGGACGTTGTATCCTTGGGAAAGGCACTTTATACGAAATGTTCCTCACTTCACCCTGGTGGGAATGTGTACCCAGCCATTGACAGCGAAAGATCCTGTCAGTATGTTAGTGTTTTAGCGCATATTATATAGAATGGCAGCGTGCACTGTATGCTTCCTAGGAAGTTAGATTGTTTCAGGGTGCCATCAGATCTGCTGGGGAAATAATACATGTATGGCTCGTAAATCGTATAGAGCTGCTGTTGAGTGGAATTTTGCGAACAAACAAATGCTATCTATTCTCATCATTATTGATATTTTTATAAACAAGTTACGGAAGGCAATTTCAGACGAATGGGGCAATAATGTATTTCTTTTATTATTTTTTTTTTTTTACTTCGGACCAATTGGATCTACATAGCCCCATATCACAATTCCAGACCCGATTACGCATCTCCATTTCTCTCTCTCTCTCTCTCTCTCTCTCTCTCTCTCTCTCTCTCTCTCTCTCTCTCTCTCTCTCTCTCTCTCCCCCCCCTCTCTCTCTCTTCCATTCATGTATCCAAAATCATCTATTTCATTGACAATCCACCTATCTTGCCATCTCTAAACAATCCAAAAACCTGTTTGTCCCTGCTCTCTTCCATTCATGTATCCAAAATCATCTATTTCATTGACAATCCACCTATCTTGCCATCTCTAAACAATCCAAAAACCTGTTTGTCCCTGCTCTTTCTTTGATATAAATGATTTGCCAAGAAACGACCCCGCTGTAGTTATCGAAACTGCATGTCGGTTTTTAGTCGGCTTTTAGTAAAATGTGCTACGACCATTGTGCTCACCGCTCGCTTACCTCTCGATAGAAGTGCTGAGATGTGCACGGGTCGAAAATGGTTGCACTATGTATAGGCCATGCACGTGTCCACTGGAACAGAAACGACCCGAACTTTTATTGGGAGGAGGCGAATCTGTCTATTCCACTATTCATTTCTGTCGTTCGTGTCCACTAGTTCAGAAACGATACATGTAGATCTACTAGTTTTTTGGCCTATTGGCGAACTTTTTTGCCGGATGTGTGCGCAAAACCACTGTTGTAGCGTGCTGTGTTTGTAAATAAGTCAGCCACAATTTGTCCATGATGGCGCTACGAGTGAAGAGGCTTGCTTCACAGTACTGTGACTGTGTTTGAAAAGGAGGAGAGCAGTTGAGAAAAGACGCCATAAACATTGGACAAACCCTGCTTAGTTGAATCAAGATCAACATGAGGCGAGTTTCATTATTTGTTTCCAGGGATCATGCAAGGCGACGAGAAATGTGAAAAGTTCCTTAGGCTAGAATGACACAGCCTTCGTTTGAGCTTCTTTTGGAACTTTGCCAGACAGAACTCTTTGCAGAGAAGAGATACGAACTTCAGAAACGCTTTTTTCAGCAAAAGAATTACATGTGGTCACATTAAATTATGTTATTTGCCTTGGAAAAACAATTCTTGTCTGATTCAAATAAGAACGTACACGAGAGGCTTATTAAAATGCTAGGGCTTTATTTGAACCACATCTCTGCCAAGTTTCATTTAAATTTAAATCCATTAACATAAACTCGGACTTTTAGCCCCCCCCCCCCCCCCCCCCCACCCAAAAAAATGTACAGAAAAATATGATTTCGAGGGCAATGTAATTTTGATTCAAAATTTGTCCTCAGAAGTAGTATAACAACCTTTCAAAAGCAATTTAGAAAATATATCTATTTGAGGCATAATACTTGGTAAAATGACGCAATAGCTGCTAAATTAAAGGATAATAAAAAATTTGAAGCTAAATCCTCATTTCAGGTGCAAGCCATCTCTTACTTTTAGGCCTTTAATAGCCCAAGTGTTTATTGACGAAGAATGATAGTGTTTTTGGCTTGCGGTAGTCAACTGGCGTGAAAGCGGTACACCAAAACCAAGTCTTTGTTACACGAGTGCTCTGCTGAGCGTGTTACAACGGGCTATAACTCATCAAAAGGTCAAAGAACACTGGCGCGAATGAGAAATGGATGGATTTTAGACTAAATGAAAATAGGTATAATAATAATTGTTAATGGAAAGATGAACTCCTAACACTTAGCCCAAGGCCATAATCATTGGCCCAAGGCTGTTAAATAATTATAATATGTTCTTATACTTATACTAAGGCCAACAATAGAAATAGCAGGCTATTTATAAAGATGATGTAAACAAATTGAAAAGAATAAACCATAGTACCAATGACACACAGGTACTAGAGAAGATACTGTTGGGCCAATCTGATAATATAATAATATTTGATTTTAAAAAACTCGTTTTCAAAGTGTTATCAAACAATGTCAGGGCCATTAGCTGCTTGAGACAGGACGCGACTTAATAAATTAAATTTGGCGTTGTTTTGGTCTACTTCGGCCGGCTGTATCAATCTGGCAACTTGGCTTTTTCTAAGAAAAAGATCTAGGCTACGACTTGGCACAGGTCAAAGGCCAACCCAAACAACAATATTATAATCCCGTCGATCGACAGTTGACGCATGAATAATTGTCGTCTGTCATTTTGTGACATTTTGTCTGTGGTGGAGTGCAGGTTTCATTTTCCCCCTATTGAAATTAAATCAAGTCTTTACTCTGGATCTAGATCTAGACTCTAGTTGAATTCTAATCTAATTTTGACCGTTTTGACAATCGGTCTCTAAAATCTAAAATCTCAGTCAGTCTATAGTCTAGATATTAGATCTCTAGATCTAGATCTAGATCTAGATCTAGATTCTAGATCTCGAACCAACAATGTCAGCGTTCTCTTTTCAGACGTGCAAGAGAAAGAGGGGCTACCACTAAGTAACACAGTCAGGTGGTAAAATTTAGGAAGACGTAATTGTGGTCAGTCAGTCAAACTACGTTAGTAGATCTAGATAGTCTAGTCGATGGAAAGTAGAGATCACAATGGCAGATCCTCAATATCATGAATATAATGCAGGAAAATTAGTTCGGACTGTGGCTTGGCGTTTCCTGCTTGTCTTCCTATTCATGATTCGAGAAATTGCCTCTCTTATTATCAATATCACCCGAGTGGCCGTCCTGGGAATTTGGGTAAGTATTAGTCTACTCTGAGGGTATAGAAATCTAGATCTAGATTTCTAGATCTAATATAAAAATAAATTATGGGCACTTCCGTAACGAGCGACCACCCCAACAAATGTAACAACAGACCTAACGAAGTGACTATTTCTCCAAAAGCTCGGGAAAATTTAATAAACTTGATCTCTATTTCTCCGAACGGTTTCCGTTCTCGAGATTTTGGTGTTATTTGCTAGATTTAAATTTTAGATGTCTCCTTTCATATTCTGCCATTCTGTGAGGACTGGGAAGAAGCATTTTTTTTTTCATCAAATTCATTTTCTAGAGCTAGATTTCTAGAGATTTTTAATCGAAGAGCCTATTTCTCCGAACGTTCAGGAAAATAAACTTGAACTCTATTTCTCCGAACGGTTTCCGTTCTCGGGATTTTTTGGTTATTTGCGAGATTAAGGCTTCATCTTTCATTCTGCCATTCTGCAAGGACTGGGAAGAAGTATTTTTTGCATCGAATTCAATTTCTAGAGCTAGAGATTTCTAAATGTCTGAATATTCAGATACACTTGAGTTGTGGTTGGGGCAACGTACGTTCCCGGACTATACTTCATATTTGAAAATACCTTCAAAAGGTACTCCGAGAAAACTAGACTGATCGACCTTGGCAGTAACCTATTTTGTTTATATATAGTCACTCAGCAAAAACTAAAATCCTTCATTTAAAAAAAAAAGGAAGAGGCTAGCCGTACTTATTCTTTTTAATATGATGGCTAGACTCACCATTTACAAAAAATAGGCCTGCTGAATTGTCAATATATACATTTTTAGTGTGCAGTACCTAAAGTATTTGTATTTGAGATGAAACCAGGTGCCATAATGACAGTGCATGTATTTTAAACCTCCTGTTTTCTAATGTTAATAGGGCCTAAGATAAGTACGGCTAGACTTCTTGTCTAGCCGTACTTAAGTACGGGTAGACAGCCAGGCTAGCCGTACTTAAGGACGGCTAGACTGTCAGTCTAGCCGTACTTAATATTGATGGCTGAATTGTAAATGAAATTTTTAGTTTGCAATGCCTAAAGTATTTGTATTTCAGACAAAACCAAAAGGTGCCTTACTGACTTGCATGTATTTGAACCTGAATAATTACTAGATCTAGATCTGAGACCTGTGTACTTAACAGGCTTGAGTCGATAGGGCCAAACCTAGATCTAAGCACGGCTAGACTGGCAGTCTAGCCGTACTTAAGTACGGCTAGACTCTCAGTCTAGCCGTACTTAAGTACGGCTAGCCACTTCGAAAAAAAAATCCCTCCACGCCCCGTTCACACCTTACGCACACACATGTACTCACATACACACACACACACACACACACACACACACACACACATACACACACACACACACACACACACACACACACACAACAAGCACTCACACTCACACACACACGCACGGGCCACCATTCGCAATTATTATCAAAAAAATCTCGAGAACGGAAACTGTTCGGAGAAATAGAGTTCAAGTTTATTTTCCAGAACGTTCGGAGAAATAGAGCATGCCTTTTTAAATGTCTGAATTTTCAGAATCTTCAGTTGTGGTTGGTGACCAAAATTGTGTCGATAGTGCCGTAAAACATCTACCCAATCAATCAAATCAGTTGTGGTTGGGGCTACGTTCCCGGAATATATTATACTTCTTGCATTTGAAAATGCCTTTTAAAGGTACTGTGAGAATTTGCATTTAGTTACCCCTAAAGCAAAAACTAAAATCCTTCATGTAAATTAGAAAAAATTTCCTCCACCCCCCCCCCCCCCCCCCCCCCCCCCCACTCACACTTAATACATTATATTTAAAAGTCAAACCTCGTTGTACTGCCAGCTCGGCTTAGTGTCAGGTTTTGCCAATGTACGCAAAGAGTCCCCCATTGTGTGTGCCTAAAGAAAGGTACAGCTTCCTAGATTTTTCACGCTTATCCAAGAAGGCTAGGTGTTGATCTTTCCTACCATAAGATCAAGGGTGTGGCTGAAAGACATCAGTAAGAAGGAGCCAAGGAGTAGCAGTAGAAAGGCTGCAGAAAGAGTCAGGAGTCCAGAGGATGGGGCAAAGGAGGTGGAGGGGATGGGAGCAGAAAGTGGAGACGAAAGCAGACAAGAGAACATTTCTAGAGTGTAGGAAAGGAGGTGAAAGGATATTTTGGTGACTATCCAGATTTGAACCCGGGACCTAGTGAATGAGAGGCGAACACCTTAACCTCTAGGCCACGAGAGCCCCCTAACGAGGTTTGACTGAACATGCATTTTATATAATTATATGTTATCTCAACTTTTTTTCTATCTTTGTCTATTGACAGAAATTCCTAACCTGGCTGTTTTCAAGGCTAACAGAAACAGCTGAAAGCAACGCATATACCTTTTCCAATTTTTATCCTGACCATGATGGCCTGATTCAAGAATCAACAGTCCTTCAACTTGATTTACATGGCTATTATGTAAAGGAGGCTACTGTTAAACTTCACTCTTTCCTGTTGCAGAATGAAGCACGGTGTTAGTAAACTTGTCCTTTTTTTCATTAGTGGTGTTGCTGTCTTTCTCTCTCACTCTCTGTCTCTGTCTCTGTCTCTCCATCTCTATCTCTCTCCCTCTCTTTCATTCTCTCTCTCAATTTCTCCCACCCTCTCTCTTCTTTCTATATGTATGTGTGTGTGTGTGTGTGTGTGTGTGTGTGTGTGTGTGTGTGTGTGTGTGTGTGTGTGTGTGTGTGTGTGTGTGTGTGTGTGTGGATAAGTAAAGTATAGATGTATGAAGTGTATGATGGACATATGTATGTGTTTTGTAGGAAAAAGAGAGATGGAGAGAGATGGTATTTGTATGTGTGACTGTATTTTGTTAACATTTTAGATGCTATGGGGGGTGGGATTGTCATCTTATTTCCTAAAACTCTGTGTCACACACTTGTGTTTTGTATCTGGCCCTTTTGTTTCACTGTATTTTGCTTTATTCTTGGCTGTGCATTATATTTTTTTATATTTTTCTTCACTAAAGACAGTGAAAATAAAATAGAAGCAACAGAAATGTTTCTTAGGAGACTGCTGAGAATATTGTGGAAAGAAAGGAAATCAAATGAAGTAGTGCTTGATGAAGCCTACGTGGGACGCTCACTGTTAAAAATAATAAATGCAGTTTTTGGGACACCTAAATAGACATAAAAGTCTTGAACATTTAGCTCTCACTGGCAAAATTCAAGGCAAATAAAGCAGGGGTAGGCCCAGAGCAACCTACTTGGAGAACCTAAACAAATGGTTAACAGGGAAATAACAGGGAAACGTAGCTTTTTTCAGAGGATCCGAGCAAAGGAATGAATGGGGAACCGGGAATGCCGATGTCTGTCGCACTTCTGGCAGTGGATCATGATGAAAGTGATTTTTTTTCGATCTCTTCCGAATGGATGATTGATGACGTAGCATTATATCATAGTGTATAAGACACTACTTTTGACCGAAAAAAAAAATCAGGGCTTCAAAGTCACCTTGTGTCTCATCCATAAGCTGTGAAATTAGACCCAAAAAATCCCAGTGTAGGTTGACCGAGGCTGGAACAAACGTATAATTATAATTGTGTGACTTTCATGACAGGGATAATGCAACTGAGATGAATGAAAATGAAATTGATGATGAAATCAAGACTTTTTAATAGTGACAATGAGGAGTTTTTACAACATATATGCATCAGTACTATAATAATTATTCTTTTACTTTTATCTCTGAAAATTAAATGGGCAACTTTTTGGTGATGGTTATTACCTGGAAAGAGTTGGTTCGTCTCATCTGATAAATGTATAATTATGATTTATTATACTAAAATGTCTGTCAGCTCTACCTGTGTCTTACCTGCGCTTGCATCATGTGATATGACACATGTCTTGTGTTACCTTCTTCTTGTTCCGAGGGAATAAGTTGTGCGGACAGTGTGTAGTAAGTTAAGTGCCTGGTTGTTGATTTTGTCTTAGATTCCTCTGTTTTTTTCTGTCTCACTGTCTGTATCCTTTGTTGTTTTTTTTCCCAACCAGAGTTACTATTATTGTATGCTGCTTGGAATGTAACTGATCAGTTTCCTGTCTCCACAGTGAAGATGGGCCAGCGCCTTCTCATAATTACAGGACGGGGCAAACACAGTTCAAATGGACCGGTCATTAAACCAATGGTGCAGCAGTTCTTGGTTTCCCAGGGTTTTGAGTGAGTTTGGCTTGTTCTTGTGTTAAATATCTCTTGATGGTGCTGTTAACATAATATATATATAT